TTAAGAACGAAGAAGCTAATTATTTCAGACATATTTCCCGACCGCAGCCAGATTGAGCCCGTTTTACGACGTTTTCGTAGGACTGGCAAGAACGGGTAAGAACAAGTTTGGTGTGATAGGGGGGTTAAATAAACGTCAACACAATTTCACAAAATACGCATAGGAATATTATTAAACTTTATTGTAATTTATCAAAAACAAAAACCATGCTTCAGGTGTGAGTACCGCAATCTAACACGAAATTCAAAAATTCGGAACAATACGTTGCACTTAGGCTATGGCGTTCGTGACCAACTATGAAACGCTTACCCCCATAATGTTATATATTAAAATGTACTTATTCAATAGACATATACTGTAGGCATGGGCTTTCAATTGAAAGCCCATGATGTAGGGGTTCGATTAATCATCAAATTATAGGGAATGAGGTTACTTTTCTAGATAGGGTTTGTAGAAAAAACCGGGTACCGGGTAGTAAATCCTCCATGCTGGGTTCAAACTTGGTACCCGGTCAAAAAAACCGAGTACCCAAAAAACGAAATATACGAATATACAACATAATTAGATCATTAGAAAACGTGTAAGATTTGTTTTGAATTTACAAAAATGTATGTAACTTCCTTCAAAATTGAGCTAGAAGCTTCAAATAAAAAGCATTTTAAGGCTCTTTTCTTCCTCTATCATCATGGTCATATTTCCATTGGTAATGAAGGGAGGGGGATGCGATCGCACCCCCTCCTGGCTACGGCAATGACATTGTAAGACGATTTGAAAAACAAGATAAATCTTACTCTATTTTCAATAGTTCGTATGTTGGTACGTGAATTGTTTTGATTATGATTTAAATCTGTAAAAAGCTATCGTTGCTTTAGCAGAGAGGTGACGTGTGTTAATTTACATGATGCATCGTGTAAGAATTTGAAAATGTCCACTGAATTGTAAATTGTTATGTCTTACAATGTCATAGGCGTAGCCAGGAGAGGGTGCGTTTTCTCATAATCTAATTATGTTATATATATTGTATATATTGTATTTTTCGTTTTTTGGGTACCCGTTTTTTTGACCGGGTACCGGGTACCAAGTTTGAACCCAGCATGGAGGATTTACTACCCGGTACCCATTTTTCTCTACAAACCCTTTCTACATATCAGCGTCCATTTATTGTAACTCGCGTTTGCTAACATTTTCTCAGTTCTGAGATGAAGGCCACACGAGTAGTAAAAAGGCCAACGTTGGATTTATTTGTGACCTACATCCCTATTTTCGTATTTAAAATGAAATTTGAACCCTTCCTCTTTATTTTGATACCAAACAACAGCATGCTAGGTACTTGAAATTAGGTAAACTTTACTCCTCAAAAGTGCAAAAACTTAGCTTCTTATATAAGACAAGATAATCACAATATAGGGGATTGCAACAATTTCGGAAATTCGCGGAGGTCAAAGCCACATTTGCGGGACTTCGCGGGACATTGCGGGACACGCGAATTAGCCTAATTTTGATCAAATTCGCGGGATAATCCCGCCATTCGCGGGACACTTGACAGCTCTGGAGTCCCCGCCATTTTTCAAAAATTCATTGGGAATATGATCATTGCCGCTTGCCTTTCCATTTTTCAAGTTATTGATTTTCCTCAAAACTTCTGCTTCGGATATGATAAAATGGTTCAAACAATTTGGAGAAAATTTGGTTTCACTTTCAAGTTTATTTAGTTCATCAGACAGATTGGTCTTGACATAGTTGGGGTTTCTACTTTTGGGTCCGACATTTGCCCAATATTTGCCAATCGTATGGGAAACTAGTTTGGGGTCGTCAATCGTAGAGTTGGGGTTAAATGCAGAGCTGTCAAGTGTCCCGCGAATGGCGGGATTATCCAGCGAATTCGACCAAAATTAGGCTAATTCGCGTGTCCCGCAATGTCCCGCGAAGTCCCGCAAATGTGGCTTTCGACCTCCGCGAATTTCCGAAATTGTTGCAATCCCCTATATGGTGATTATCTTATCTTATATAAGAAGCTAAGTTTTTGCACTTTTGAGGAGTAAAGTTTACCTAATTTTAAGTACCTAGCATGCTGTTGTTTGGTATCAAAATAAAGAGGAAGGGTTCAACTTTCATTTTAATTACGACAATAGGGATGTAGGTCACAAATAGTTCCAACGTTGGCCTTTTTACTATCCGTGTGGCCTTCATCTCAGAACTGAGCAAATGTTAGCAAACGCGAGTTACAATAAATGGACGCTGATATCTAGAAAGGGTTTGTAGAAAAAACCGGGTACCGGGTAGTAAATCCTCCATGCTGGGTTCAAACTTGGTACCCAGTACCCGGTCAAAAAACGGGTACCCAAGAAATGAAAAATACGAATATACGAGTATAACATAATTAGATTATCAGAAAACGTGTAAGATTTGTTTTGAATTTACAAAAATGTATGTAACATCCTTCAAAATTGAGCTAGAAGCTTCAAATAAAAAGCATATTTTAAGGCTCTTTTCTTCCTCTATCGTCATGACCATATTTTCATGGGTTATGTTCACGTACCAACATACGAACTATTGAAAATAGAGTAAAATTGATTTGTCTTATTATTCAAATCGTCTTACAATGTCATTGGCGTAGCCAGGAGAGGGTGTGATGGTGCGATCGCACCCCCTCCCCCATCATTACCAATGGAAATATGACCATGATGATAGAGGAAGAAAAGAGGCTTAAAATGCTTTTTATTTGAAGCTTCTAGCTCAATTTTGAAGGAAGTTACATTTTTGTAAATTCAAAACAAATCTTACACGTTTTCTAATGATCTAATTATGTTGTATATTCGTATATTTCGTTTTTTGGGTACCCGTTTTTTTCGACCGGGTACCAAGTTTGAACCCAGCATGGAGGATTTACTATGCGGTACCCGGTTTTTTCTACAAACCCTATCTAGAAAAGTAACCTCATTCCCTATAATTTGATGTAGATTAATCGAACCCCTATATCATGGGCTTTCAATTGAAAGCCCATGCCTACAGTATGGTAGTAGTTGGTCACGACGCCAGAAGCAGAGAAGTGCAAAGTATTGTTCCAAATTTTTGAATTTCGTGTTAGATTACGATACTCACACCCGAAGCATGGTTTTTGTTTTTGATAAATTACAATAAAGTTTAATAATATTTCTATGCGTATTTTGTGAAATTATGTTGACGTTTATTTAAGTTACAATGTAACGGTGCATTATATTTGATTAATCACTATCTGAAAGTTTGATTCAAGTACTTTTACACGCTTTTACATTAGTCCAAATCACCCAAATCCCTTGAATGTCCCGGGACATCCTGCAAATTTAGGTGGATGTCCCGCGAAATCCCGCAAAAGGGCACTTTTTCTAGAAAATCTGTCCCTCTATGAAGTTTTTGCTGGTAAACCTGTTAACTGTCCCGCAATTAGGGTGTTTGTCCCTCGAATGGTCCCGCGAAATCCCGCGAATTTGATAAAAAAAAATTGGCCTATAAGCGCAATCACGCAAATCCCTTAAATGTCCCGCGAAATCCTGCGAATTTAGTAGATGTCCCGCAAAATCCCGCGAATTTTGGGCACTGGGTCTACAAAATCTGTCCCGCGAGAAAATCTTTGGGGGTTGACAGTACTGTAAATGGGTCAATGATTTCATTTGGGAATTTACTTTTAGCATTAAACATTTGGAGGGTTCGCCAAAAAGATCTAGATGATGAAGATTTACGTAGTGAATTTTTGGTAATAGTTTTGATATGATTCTTCACATGACGTTCCCTTATAAGGTCCTTTACTTTATTTTTACGATCTAAGTAGGACTCCCATAATGTTAAAATAACATTTGGGTCAACAGATTTGACTTTACTCATATATCTATGAAGACGACACGCATCTTTACGACTTTTGATCAGGGCTTTTAATTCATCATCCCAGAAGTGGCGGAGTTTAGGGTTAATGAGGCTTCTACCAATAGTTGTATCTGCAACCTCAGTTAGAATAGTTTTCCAGCTTTTCCACGCTTCATTGACATTACTAAAATCATTTAGTGACCAATTTGAGAGTTTATCAGATAACATTTCGCGGAAAGAAGTCCAATCTGTTGACTCATTGAAGTTCCACCTAAATGGCTTCTCTTGTTGGATGTTTGCAGATTTAGGTTTAACTTCATTTGCATGTATTGACAGTTCAAGAGTTATGATTGAGTGGTCACTGCCCACTGACACATCATGGTTCTCGTGAACTGTCATTTTATGGAAAAATTGTATACATGGGTCATTCATAAGTACATAATCAATAGTGGAAGAATGGCTGTTTCTTTGCCAAGTTATCTCACCTGAACAGCGATCAGATAAATTTAAAATGGTGAGGTCAGCAGAGTCAACAAATATGTCAAGGAGTTCACCATTAGGGCTCTTCTTGCCAGAATTGAAATGCGCAATTTTACCATTGAAGTCTCCAAAAAGAATAACATTCTTGTTATTTAGGCTGGAAACATTGGATAGGAGTTCATCAAATAAGTCTTGACATTTCTTCATGTCTTTGCCATCATTAGGAAAATAAGCGACTCCAAGAATAAATTTCTTTTTGTTGACTTCAATTTCAACCCAATAGCGCTCATAGTCATCAGATTTAGATTCAAGTATTATCATTAATGGTCTTGATAGAATTATGAATGAAAAAGCCTAAGCCTCCACCATTTTTGTTCTCTCTATTTTTACCTAACCAATCATGATTTTCGCTACTTACAGCAAGGGAATTCCTGTTATTAAAAAACGTCTCAGTTAAAGCAAAAATGTCATATTCTTGACCATGAAGTATTTCTTTTAATTGAATTTGTTTAGACAGGCCAAGGTGTTGAGCATTATTATATCCCATCACAACTGGTTTTGAAACCATTTTAGGCTTCCTGTTTTTACCACTCCTGCGTTGCTTTTTATGGTTCTTAGCTTTTCGCTTACCAACTGAATTACCATTTAAATGAGCTCATGGGGGAACGGCACTAACATGGCCAAGGACCTAGTATTTGTTAGAAGTTGAGATGTCCTTATAAGGGCACTTATGGGTCTTGTGGCCGAGATTCATGCAGGAATAACATCTGATGGAATTGGGGTGCCAACAAGTCGAAGCAAGATGGGAGGCCTCTCCACATTTATAGCAAATAGGCTTAGCTTTATTGGCAGCAGAGGTGACGTTGGCCAATGAGTGTTTAGGGATGGGTTGTCCATTGGCGTTATTGTGTGTTACTCTAGCTCTGAGGTTATTGTTCATATTATTGGCAAAAGAATCGCTATTAGGTCTGGGAGTGGTATTTGGACCATTTTTAGGGGCATTGGACCTTGATTTCTTATATTGATTGAAGGGCTTTGTGACACTCTTGAGAGATTTTGTAAGTCCCATATTATGCACCAGACGGTTAGTGCCAGCTGGGTTGAGATGGAGACCATCTCTATTCAAGAAGCCTTCGTTGATAGTGCCATCTTGCAGAATAAAAGTATTGTCATTGCTAATGAAGGTTGTATTGTCGGTGTGGTCACACAAAACTTGCAGTTCAGCGTTTACTGCCTGGGCCTTTTCATGGGCTTATTTATTGTCTGTACGGGGGCAGATACTTGAGATGGAAACATCTTTAGAAATGGCCTTCGCTCCAGACAGAAGAAGTTTGTAATCGTCCACGATGTTTTTAGCTGTGTCACCTTTGGCACAGTCATTGCTTCCAATTTGCAATATAACTTTATCATAGGATTCATTATTCATGAGGGCTTTCTGGGCATCTGAGATGGTACCACCACTAATACATTTAATATCAACAAGTTTGGTGTCGAGACAGGTTTCATCTATATCCCTTAGGATTTGCTCACTTTCAAATATTGGCGGCTATTTAATTTGGTGGAGTCAGGACTGAGCTGAAATTTTAGCAAAGATCTAGAAATAAATTCATGTGTTCTGCTTTCAGTAAGTCTTGGTATAGCACTGACAACCAAATGGGAATACTTACACCAGTGGAACAATTGCAAATAACAAATTCTCTATGGATTTTCCAAATTAGATCTGAAAATTGGCGAATATTTAATTTGGCGGATGTCAAATTAAAATAGTAGCCAAATTAAGTGTATCTACAGTATCTAATAATTAAAAGAGAACAATCGCAAATGAACACTTGCAAAGGGTGTTAAGTTTAAAATAAAATGGAGCCATTTCCCTGTACTAATACTAATTGGGTGTGCTAATATTGGTTGCATTAATTAGGTGTGCTCCAAAATGGGATTCTGGCTGAGAGGCAATGGGACAATGGATGCCATGGTGACTACATAAGTTATTCTAACAAACTATTACTCAGTGATCAACCATGCCAATACTAAGCTCATAAGTCCAGAATTGAATGCATTGCATAATATTTAATAATGACCAACTATTTTCTCGGAATGACTCTGCCATGGGGGAAAGGTGGTGATATGAAAGATCCTTTACATAATGTAGGGTACTTGAATGTATGATGTATCCTTAAAGGAACATTCCTGGCCAAACCTTTTCTATCCTGATGTGATAGCTATAACCATATATATACTTTCCATATTTAGCAAAACACCAGGAAATGTGTCAATATTGATAATTTAAAAATGTAGTGCTCATTTTCAGTAAGCTGCCATCTTTTAAGATTTTACTCAGGAAGTGATGTCATCGAATCTCAACTTCCATGACCTTGCATATAACAGTTTAGGGAAGTAGCACAAAATCACTTCTAGACAAGTGGTTCTTACTTTATGTGCAAATGTTATATGCAAAGTTGAGAGTCGATGACATCACTTCCTGAGTGAAATACTAAAAGATGGCAGCCTACTGGAATTCAGCACTACATTTTCAAGTGATCAATATTGACTATATTAAAACATTTTCCCCTGTTTTGCTAAATATGGAAAGTATATATATGGTTGTATCTCATACTTGAGTGGGTTTGGGGTAGATATCACCTGGGAATATATATCATATCTGAGGAGCGGGCAGGATATATTGTATATGTCCCGCTCTAGGCCAAATGCGGGCAGATATAATATATCCATCCCGCTCCCGGGAATTTTTTCAAAAGTTTAAAAATTTTAAAAATTTAAATTTCAGAAGTTTAAAATTTTTCAAAAAGTTTAAATGTTACAATTCTATTGTATTGAACTGAAGGAATATTATGAAAATGTTAAACATAAATTGTGCTTTTACAGAATAGGTCTATCTTGTCATTTGAAAAAGGTGGTAAAGGTTATATCTACCCCAAACCCACTCAAGTATGAGATACACCAGTTATGTACGGTTGGTTTTGGATACAGGGTTTATCCCAAGGGAAATATGTGTATCTCACGAGGGACCGCAGGGACCGAGGGAGATACACATATTTCCCGCGGGATAAACCCTGTATCCAAAACCTCCCAGTACATAACCCTTATATAGCTACCATATTAGGAGAAAAATGGTCTGGCCAGCAATGTTAAGTTCCTTTAAATTTAAAAGTACAATGCACTTGTCTTACCATGTCCTGCAGGCCAGTCAACCATATCTGGGTGTCTTGCAAACAAGTAAGACTTGGCTGTTTTCTCCTCATCCCCCTCAACTAGAAGCATCTAAATATGTAAAATAAACAATTCTCTGAATTCAAATAGCCAAGGAGGGTGGGGGGATGATTGTTGAAACAAAATAACTTCATCTTTTGCTACGATGCAATGTTTTAAAGTGCCCGATTAACTATAAAATGCGCATGCATCCAGGTGTTGATAAACTATAAATAGCGAAAATCCAGGGTTTGTCACCACAAGGTAAGCCAGGACGTGTTGAGAGAACAGCTAGTGTTGATATTGAATTTATATGTAGCCAGATAAGTTTCCTTATTGAAATTACATATGGTTATTAGCAATACTTTGGAGGTGCTAAATAATAAAATATTTAGAGTATATATGAGAGAAATTGGTCATTTCGAACCTGTTGAAAAGTTTGTGGCTCTCGGCTACACCGGGGAATTTACTTCCATGAGTACACACATAAATGTGGGGTTCCCCAAGAGGTACGCGACAAGGTGACCTGGCATCAAATGTGCGACTAAATGCTACTATCGAGAAGATAAAATAACGAATACGACAATAAGTTATTGCATGTGACAATTCCGAGCCTTCATCTCACTGAAGTATTTTGAAGTGAAAATAGGATTTTTGTTTTGATACATGGATTCAGATGAACGTAACTTTATTCTGATAACTAATCAAAACTGAACAAAATTGATTGTACGTAACAGACAATTTATTGTTTTACAATGTTTTGATTGGCTAAACGAATGAACCCAACAAATTATGACATGTAAAATGACAATTTTGAAATGTAAAATTTAAAAGTGACAAACACAACCTCCCTATCTACTCTTTGGGAGCCCTAGTAAATTACTAATATGTACATGCAGCAGTGGTAGTGTACAGCTTATTATCACACTACGCTTTGTATTCTAAAGCCTGTTGTTTGTAATAACACTGTTCACTCAACGTATGTTTTGTGTGTGGGCAGTCAACGAAAATCATTGTTTTATCCCGGTTATATGACCTCGGCAATTATAACAAAACCGTACTAAACGAAAAAACGCAAATAAGAGAAAGCTTTCACACACATATAAAAAATGAACTAGTCTAATCCGCCAGTATAAACTCTGTGCTATACGTAGCCGGGTCAGGCGCACACTTTAAACAATGCCTGGAAAAGATGAAATTATTCTGTAAAACTGTAGGCTATATTTTATTGCATCAATTTTGTGCTTTTTAAATTTACATACTGACAATTGACCAATTAAAAAAGTGATTCATCCATTGTCACAAAAACTAAGTGCAATTTCTGATTGGCCAATTAAAGAGTACCTTTCCAGTAAGGGTTATTCTTGCGCATGGGGGGAGTTCAGGATCCATATGGTGTCTATCACAATAGTGACTTTGAGCCAGAGTTATTGTGATAGAAACTCTGTTATCGTATTTGATATTCTCCATCATTGTGGAGATCTCTGCGAAATAGAAGTATGGTGTGCCGGAGCTTTCTGTGAGCGTCTGTCATGATATGTGTAATAAGTGCTCATTCTGTAGCTCCCGGGTTTATTTACTGTATATGTCTTTTCGTTCAGTATAGAACGCCATCTATGAGAAGTGAAATAAAACTAAACCAGTACTACAAATTTTGTCCATCTTATTTATTATAATAAGATAACATAACATGGTGGCAGTTAATAAAAGCGATTACAACGTTCAATCGGAACATTCATAGATCATTTTCAGCTAGGTGTGACTTTTCCTGAATGTAGGAGTCGTGAGTATTCTGTGTGAAAAGGCTTGCCTCGTGTCAACCGGAAGTGCTGAAGGTACATTTTAGGGGTCGACATTTTGAAACCAAAGATTTCGCCCAAATTCTTCGTGAGATAATATACTACTTCGTGTGACTATATAGCTACGAGCTACTTATATATTATATCTGTGTGATATTATTAACGCTGATATCTGTGTGATATTGATGCTGTTATCTGTGTGATAAAATGGCAAAATTCTACCCACCAGAGAATTTCCGATTCGAAGAGCCTAATGACTGGCCAGATTGGAAAGATAGATTTCAGAGATTTCGTCTCGCCACTAAGCTTCACCTTGAGGACAATGATGTCCAAGTTTCTGCCCTAATTTATGCGATGGGTCATGAAGCGGAAAAGATTTACCGTACGTTACATTTTCCACCTGTAGTGGGACCGCTGTTGGAGGGTGAGGTAATAGAATTAGATCCACGTAGTTTTGATCGTGTGTTACAACAGTTTGATAACTATTTTGTTCCGAAGCTGAATTTGTTTAATGAGGAGCTGGTGTTTGGCAAACGCAATCAACGTGAAGGCGAAAGCTGTGAGTCATTTATTCGTGATCTATATCATCTTAGCGACAAATGCAACTTTACAGATAGAGATCGTCGTTTGCGTACCAGACTCATAAATGGACTCCGTGACACAAGATTAGCTCTGGAGTTGCAAACAAAAGATTTACCTCTAGAGAAATGCATCCAACGTATACGTAATCATGAAATGGTGTATAGCCAGGCGAAATTGAATGCTGATAATATTCAAGAAGATCAGTGTGTTGATCATGTGAAATTTGATAAAAATAAATCTAAATCTCACAAACCCTGTGGGAAGTGTGGTAGGAATCATGAAGTACAAAAGTGCCCAGCATATGGCAAAAAGTGCTACAATTGTAAAAACATGAATCATTTCAGTTCTATGTGCCGTTCCAAGAAAGGAAAAAGTGACAAAAATCCAAAGAAATCTGAGCAAGCTGAGAAAATTATTCGTGAAGTTGTTTATGTTCAACCACAAGTGGTAGACAATGTAGATATGTTTGATGCTATAAATGATGTAGATGCATGTAATACTATGTGTAATGTAGATGCATGTAATACTATGTGTAATGTTGATGCATGTAATACAGTTGAACCACCATGGCGTTGTAGCTTGCCTATCAATGGTTGTAGGGTAAATTTCAAAATAGATACAGGGGCTGATGCTTGTGTTATGTCTTATA